GGAACCTGGGAATCAACCAGGCCTGTGCCCAGATCCAGGACAGTATGCAAAAGCTCTATTCTGCTGGCTAAAGAACTCACAGTGCCTGAGCAGGGTAAAGGGAGGGAAGTGATATGCTCTACTTCTTGAGGTGGGTGGTGAGGTTTTATCACAGAAATGCATGTGAACTGGAGATAGTATGGCAGTCATCCTTAGAAAAGGACATCACCTGCACCATGAATTCCAAACTGAAGACATGTGACCAGAATGTGCCTCCCTGAGTGATGATTATTTGGGCTTCTGTTCTAGCACCATGGACAAGCAGCAACTGATAAGCTTGGAGAAGGGTGGCTTCAGTGAAGCCTTCCTTTTCCAGTAGGACTGCAGCCAACTGTAGGTGGTGAGAGGATGTGGTTTCCTTCACCATGTCCTTTTATCCTAGACAGAAGCCCAAGTATCTCGAACTGTAGATGAGGACCCCGAGGTAAAAGCTCCCCCTAAGGTGTAATGATGGCTCTCGGGATTATGGGATTAGGTTTACAAGGACTTCCTTTAGCTTCCTCCAGAACCTTTTCCCAGCAATTGGCATGAGACTTTCCTGTAAATAATCCAACAGTGGTTTGTTTTAGGAGTTTTCCATTCTTTTGGAATCCAGCGTTACTTGTCGAGGAAGCCTGAGTTGGGAGTTGGATCTAGTTCAGATCTTGATTTGATCAAGTGTTAGTTCTGTGACCTTGAGCAAATGACACCGGAGAGAAGCTCACTTCTCTGCTTGGAGAATTAGAATCACAAGTGCTCTCTACAGTTCCTTCCAGATTTTATACGAATGAAACAGTTGATAAATGTTACTTTCCTTCAGAAAAAAAGCTAGGAAATCTAGGGAAGGAAACAGTTCCTTTCTATGGTGATTATGCTCATTGTCAATTGGACAGAAGTTAGAGTCATGCAAGAGATGAGCTCTGGGCATGCCTGTGGGGGTTGTCTTGTTTACATTTACTGAAGTGGGAAGACCTATCTTGGTTGTGCAGCATTTATAAACTCTATAAATGGGAAAGGGAGCTCAACCCTAACGTTCTTCATCCCTGTTTCTTTACTACCACTACTTGGCTGGAGCTCCTGATGCTGTGACCCCACCATCCCCATATTAGTGAGGTTGATAATAAGGGGGGCCGTGACAGAATTAGGACCCCAGAGAATCTCCTCAACTTAATGCTGTGGAGTTCAAATAGCACATCCTCTAAGATGGCCATCAGTTTTTGGACAAGAAATAGTTTCTGAAGGGTACGTGTATGTGTGTTGCTGAGTATGTTAAGTATCTGTAATGAATCCACATCTATATAGAAGATGCTCTTTTTAATTTATAGCTACATTGTAAACTGTCTGCATAGCTGGACACTCTTCATGGTTCATTATGAATGCCTCAGGTGGTTTCCAAATGGCACCTAGCTTGTAAGACTCCTTTGGTCTCTACCTGTTTCTATGAATATTCTTGTTTAGTTCTCCTGAGTATGGGGTTGGGGTTTAATGACCTCAGCCTTCTTGAACTGAGTGTCACTCCTAAGACTTCTGTCTTGGGTGATAAAAGGAAGCCAACTGGCATGCTGTTGGTGCCCTAGGGAGACATATGCTCCCAAGACCAGAGAGGACTTTCAGAGAGTGAGGACCTGAGACCTTGCCAATAACCAGGTGAGTGGCCTGGAGGTGAATCCACACCCAGATGAGGCCTCAGATGAGAGTACAGCCCTAGCTTAAACACAGCCTCATGAAAGATGAAGCACTCAGGCAGGCCAGGCCTGGATTCCTGACCAGCCAACATTAGGAGATGATTAAATGTCTGATGCTTTGAAGGAAATTTGTTATGCAGTAACAGATAATTAATACAGATGCCAAATAGAAGTTATTCACTAGGCATTGTTGAAGGATCTTTGGGAAGAATGCCTGCCAGTGGCTGATCAGCTGAGCTGACCGTGCTGTGGCAGGGACTAGACTGTAGGTTTAGATGGTGTTTTAGCCTTATTGCTGGGCAATTCGGTAAAATTACTTATGTTCTGTGTGCCTCAGTTTCCTCATCCATAACATAATGAGAATGGTCAGTAGCTACCTGGGAAGCCACTTGCAATGAAAAACCTTTCCACTTTCTTAAGTGGTGGAGTAAATTTCACTATACCATCATCACCAGGAGGGGCTGTTACTGGAAAAAGACCATTAATGACATCTGCACCAAGAAGTAGAAGCATGGGTAAGACTCACCAAGACCTTGAAGGCTGAGGGTTCCTCTCTGGAGACTCAAGGGCAGACAAGAGCTTGCCAGTCTTGACTGAAACATGGCTTGAAAACCTTGTTAGGAATAGTTTCTATATCTCTTATTTGTTTTTCAAAGATCAAATTCATCTTTTAAGAATCATCCGTTTTGCCGGGTGTTGGTGGCACATGTCTTTAATCCCAGTACTCGGGAGGCAGAGGCAGGCGGATCTGTGAGTTCGAGGCCAGCCTGGTCTCCAGAGCGAGTGCCAGGATAGGCTCCAAAGCTACACAGAGAAACCCTCTGTGTCGGGGAAAAAAAAAAAAGAATCTTCCATTTTAAAGCATGGTTCTTTGTGGATTCTAGAAAACATGTTTTGTTGTTGTTTCGGGATAATTGTTAAAACAGGTCGTAAGTCATACAAATTCCTAACAGCCTACCTTTGGTGGGAGGTATGTTTCAAAGAAGAAAATGTCTGGTTAAGAACACTAGCGGCAGCCTGTGTTGAAAGTAGTATTTGTTTTCCCAGGGAAATGCATGTATTGCCCTTACAATGGGCATTGGTATATTCTTGCTCAAAAACAACTCATGGAAAAGAAACATGGTGGCATAGGGCTTTAATCACAGCACTAGGGAGGCAGAGGCAAGCAAATCTCTGTGAGTTAGAGGCTAGCCTGGTCTACAGAGTGAGTTTCAGGCAAGTCAGGACTGTCATAAAGAGATCCTGTCTCAAACAAAACAAAACAAAACAACCTCCTCAAACCAAAACACGCCCCCCATAGGGGTTGTCCTTCTGTATATATGTTTCTCTTAGTGGTTGATGAATAAAACACTGATTGGCTGACTGGTTAGCCAGGAAGAATAGGCAGGACTAGGAAATGAGAATTCTGGGAAAGGTAGGCAGAGAGGGCCCACCAGAACTGTTGCCATGAAACCTGCCAAAGGAGTAGCAGGTCTGGACCCTTCTCCAGTAAGATAAGACCATGTGGAAATACTTAGATTAATAGAAATGGGTTAATAAGACAGAGCTAGCCAATAAGAAGCCCTATCCACTGGCCAACAGTTTTATAACTAATATAGCATCTGTGTGTTTACTTGGGGCTAAAGTGATCACAGGACCCAGCTGGGACAAAGAACTACTCATTACCACCCCCTTCCTCCAACAAAATCTACCAAATGAACAACAACAAACATCAAAAAAAAAAAAAAAAAAAAAAAAAAACCTGACATGCATTGTGACCCTGCCCTGGGCATAAGCATAGCTCATTTAAGACAAGGTGATCAACAGTATCCTTGCTTGAGAAGTCTGTGCTGGTTAGTGTTTTTTGTTTGTTTGTTTGTTGTTGTTGTTTTTTTTGTCAACTTGACAGAAGTCAGAGACATCTGGGAAGAGGGAATTTCTATTGGGAAAATGCTCCCATCAACCTGGCTGATAGACAATTCTTGATTGATGTGGGAGGGTACCTCCATGGACCTGGATTGTACGAAAAAGTGAGTGGGCATGGACAGCAAGGCAGTATGCAGCGTTCCTCCATGACCTCCGGTTTAGTTCCTATTTCCAGGTTCCTGCCCTGAGTACTTCTTTTTGTGATGGACTACAAGCTGTGACAGGAAATAAACGCTTTTCTCCCCAACTTGCTTTGGGTCATGGTGTTTAGCACAGCAATAGAAAGCACAGTAGGACCAACCCCTACATCACAGAATGTGCTTTGCTCTGGCATCCTGAAGTGCCGAGGTTTAGAAAGGCCTGAGAGATGATCAGGATGCTGATGAGGAACTTTTGAGGTGCTTCGTGACCAAGGATCATGGAAGCAATGATGGAAACCCCACTCAGACATACAGTGTCTACACCTAGCACATTAATTTGGAAGCACTCGGGTGGAAAAGACTGGCTCTCGGATGACCCTGTGTGAACTTAAGACAGTTCACTTAAGAAAATTCTGGAAGGGAGTCAGTCACCATAAGGAAAATGTGTCCAGATGACCTTTTAAGGTCCCTTCAATACAAGTGAATTAGAACCTACCAGCTTTAGAGGATTCTATGGGCCTTACTGGGGTGAGTATGAGATGTAAGAAATGGAGGTTAAGTCTTATAATCTGCTGAATAAAGTAAGAATGCACAGTACCTTTGGGTGCAGACTGAACAAAGAAGGGGAGCAGGTTGGTACAGTAGAATGTTAACAATGCAGAAGGAATGCTGGAATAAACCTATAACAGCAGACTTCAGCAATCACATCATAAACCAAGCTGGAATCAATAGCCTGCTTATGTGTTAGGGAAAAATTGGAGGAGCAGCAGCTTGATATCTATACAGTCTACAAGGGTCTTACAAAAAGACACTTTTTGAGGGTTGGAGAGGTGGCTCAATGGTTACTACTTGCTGCTCTTGCAGAGGACCTGAGTTCAGTTCTCAGCATCCAGATGCCCACAGCCAAGTGCTCACACACATAAAATAAGTAGATTTTTTTGTTATTGTTTATGAGACAGGGTTTCTATGTGTAGCCCTGGCTGTTCTAGAACTTGCTCTACAGTAGATCTGCTTGCCATGGGCACCTGCTCTTGCATACATACCAATATACAAACACACTCACACCACACATGTTTAAAAAGAAATCTTAAGGCGATACTGACCAATTATGAAGAATAAAATAGCAATATAGAGAGTTTTTAAAAAGTTTAGACAAAAAGATTGGATGTATTTAGGATCTTAACAGTGCTGGAATATGGGTGAAGATACTTTTTTTTTGTCTTTTTTTTCTTTTACAGTTTTTTTTTTTTTGATGGGTGCAGTGAACTTTATTGATGGTATTCAAGAGAGTAGGGCTCCCTAAGCCCCTCCTTATTCTGGGGGTCTGGGATGGAAACTGTGAGGGAGATGATCTGTGTGGGGGTTATTGGACAGGGATTGCTCAGCAGCCAGGGCCTCTCTCTTGCTCGAGTCCTTGCTGGGGGTGGATGGTCCAGGGTGGGCTTCTTACTCTTTGGAGGCCATGTAGGCTATGAGGTCCACCACCCTGTTGCTGTAGCCGAATTCATTGTCATACCAGGAAATGAGCTTTACAAAGTTGCCATTGAGAGCAATGCCAGCCCCAGCATCAAAGGTGGAAGAGTGGGAGTCACAGTTGAAGTCGCAGGAGACAACCTGGTCCTCGGTGTAGCCCAGGATGCCCTTCAGTGGGCCCTCAGATGCCTGCTTCACCACCTTCTTGATGTCCTCATACTTGGCAGGTTTCTCCAGGCGACATGTCAGATCCACAACGGATACGTTGGGGGTAGGAACACGGAAGGCCAAGCCAGTCAGCTTCCCGTTCAGCTCTGGGATGACTTTGCCCACAGCCTTGGCAGCGCCAGTGGATGCAGGGATGATGTTCTGGGCAGCCCCACGGCCATCACGCCACAGCTTCCCAGAGGGGCCATCCACAGTCTTCTGGGTGGCAGTGATGGCATGGACCGTGGTCATGAGTCCTTCCACAATGCCAAAGTTGTCATG